TCAACCTGTGACTGTGAGGCCGGGGCCCTGTGACTCGTGCTGCGGGCCCTGGTAGGCACTCGACAAACTTTGCCTCAGCGTCTCCATCGTTATTATTATTTTTATTGTTTGCGGTACTGGGGCTTGAACCAAGGGCCTTCCCACTAAACCACATCCCCTGACCTTTTTAAAGTTTCTGATTTTGAGACTGGATCTCCCTGAGTCACAGTTATCCCCCTGGGTTTATACTTGTGATCCTCCCGCATCAGCCTCCCAGAGTGCTGAGATTACAAGCATATTCTACCATGCCTTGTTGCAGTTGATTTTATTTATTTATTTTGAGAGTCTTACTGTTGTGGTTCAGGTTGGCCTTGAACTCACTCTGTATCCCAGGCTGGTCTTGAACTCACAGTAATCCTCCTGCCTCAGCCTCCCGTGTGTAGGGTCTACAGGAGTGCGTGACTATGTTCGCTTGCTTCATTTTATTTGGTGCCCGCTTCATGTGGAACAGCAGCAGCTGAGTGGCGTCAAATCTGTGACCTGTTGTGGTCCTTTCTCTCCTGTTCGCACTGATCTTCTTTCTCATATTCTAGCTATTTTATGGAAATGAACCTATTTTAAGAAGTTTCAGTAGTCAGGTTCTGGGGTTTAGTAGGTGGCAAGAACATAACACGTTTTGCATTTTTAGATCCCATTACGGAAATGACTGTGACCCATGCAGAGTGAACACGTACTGCTTGTTGTCTTGCAAGCATCGTCCCAACCTTTTGCACCCTTCGTGTCTATAAACATCAGTTTTCCCCAGACCAAGACCCTGCCCCAGTCTGACCCTCCACAGCTCAGTTATTACAAGCCTTGTATGCATTGAATTAGATCTTGCTCTTACATCACACAGGCTAACGGTTCGGGGGTGTTTTGTGTCCGTTACCTTATAATTCTTTTGCTGAGTTGATTTCATTATTGATTGTCCAAGTTTTCATATCAGCACATAGACATAGTTTTTATCAAACATGCCTGTAATTGTTTGTAGGGAATGGAGAAGAGGACTTTACCAGGACCTCTGCCACGGGTCCTGGCCTGTGAGCCACCACAGCGCAAGGCGAATTCAAGAACAGACAGGAAACAAGGGACTTAGAGTGGAGAAGCTGAGTCTTGGGTCCTGGTCAGTGCTGCTCATGGCAGCAAAGACAAAGGTCTCCAAGCACATCCAGTATTTATTGAATACAATTGTGAGAAGGAATGTGGAGCAGGGTACGCTTTGAAGGCGTCTGGTGAAATAGTGCTGAACACCTGGCTTGATGGCGCCAGGCAGTGCTGTTAGGGAGGAAGCGCTGTTTACCTTGCTAGGATAGAACAAGCCGGTACTAGGACCAGATGCAATTAGCAAGCAGCCCACCAGGTCGATGAGAAACTATAATTTCCAGGGGAAGGACTTTAATAGGGGTTATGCTGACCTCAGCTGCAGTAACTCAGCAAAGCCCTGCCACTCCACAGACCAGGGCCTAGGTTTCCCTGGCAGCCACTGAGGAAGGGGCTGTGCTCACCCAATGCACCAGCTGACACGCCCACTGGAGTCAGGTAGAACTTCAGTCTGACTCCTGATGTAAAACAATACAACTGAATTATGGAAAACAAGAAGCAGGTGCCACTCATAGCCCGCTAGTTCTAGAGATAATGTGCTTTTTTTTTTTTTTAAGACAGGGTTTCACTATGTAGTTGAGACTGTCCTGTCCTGGATGTCCTGGAACTCACTATGCAGCCCAGGCTGGTCTCCAATTCACAGCGATCCTCCTGCCTCAGCCTCCTGAGTGCTGGGATTACAAGCATGCGCCACCACGCCCAGCGTGCATGTGTTTATATATACCGTTACTGAAGTGTCCATCAGTTTTGTTTTCATGAGTTCTCTTAAAAATTAAGGAGCTGGGTGTGGTTGTGCACACCTGTAATCCTACCACTGTGGAGGCTGAAGCAGAAGGATCGCCACCGAGTTCAGAGCCAGCCTGTGTTACATAGTGAGACCTTGTTTCAAATGCCCAAACTCTACAAAATCAGGTGTGCTGGGTTGGGGAAGTAACTTAGTGTTTAAGTGCTTGCCTACTATGCATAAGTACTGGGCTCAATCCCCAGTACTATAAAAAAGAGAAAAGAAAATAAGGGAAAATCAGGTGAGCATTTTGAAGGCTTTTTCAAGTGTCTTAGGAAATATAAATGTTTTTTTTTTTGTTTCAAATGCCCAAACTCTACAAAATCAGGTGTGCTGGGTTGGGGAAGTAACTTAGTGTTTAAGTGCTTGCCTACTATGCATAAGTACTGGGCTCAATCCCCAGTACTATAAAAAAGAGAAAAGAAAATAAGGGAAAATCAGGTGAGCATTTTGAAGGCTTTTTCAAGTGTCTTAGGAAATATAAATGTTTTTTTTTTATAGAAGACCTATTTATGTTTTTTTGAGACAGGGTCTCACTATGTAGTTCA